TTGATCGACAAACATGAGTGAGATAAGACGCGAGACGGCCAATCTCTATCTCTTTCCATTTAAGAGTATAACGTTGACTAGAAAGAGAGGAAGATTGGTCGTCTTCACGTTCCCTCTCTCTCATGTTTCTTGACTACATTTGATATACTATAAAGATACGGATGGCACAGTCCATTCCTTATGCTTTGTAGTTTACAGTATGCGCAGAGAGAAGCCTGAGAGCGGCCACCAGCCTGATCTTAGTGGCCAGAGCTAGGCACATTTTCGAGACGCCATCTAACAAAGTACGCCTTTACTACGGTCGTTAGGTGCATTTTCGTGGTGGTAACGATAAAGTGGAACGATAAAGGACAGATGTCTAATCGCTCTGTTCTTGTCTCATCACTGATGAGTGGACCGCGCGACGTAGGCACGAAGCCAGCTAGCGGCGAATTTATCGCAAAGCTAAATTATCTCTCATCAGTCTCGTTTTTTTCGCGCTGCGTTGCGCGTAATTTTGTAAAGAAAAAAGATTTGGAAACTGGACACTATGAAACAATAAGTAAATATACAAGTTTTAACATGCCGCTTATATTTTTTGCTTATTTCTCGCCAACCACAAAAAATATCGATGTGATTCAAAGAAAACTATGTTCTCCACAATTTATCACATTGGAATTCAGAATTTACAATAATATTAATAATATTAATACTATAATAATACTATTAATAACATTCATTAAATTAAAGCCGTGGAAGCGTGCGTATTTTTCGACGTCGCTGACAGCCATTTTACTACTGATTGCATTTCTCGGTAACCACTGAAAATATCAAGATGACTCCAAGGGCACTATCTACCTCACAACTCATCTTATTGGAATCAATAGTTTATAATAATATCGGAATAATATCGGAAACCTGTAATATCATGACAAACTTTTGGCCCATGCGCAGATAAGTATCACTGCGTATGCGCGAATATCTGAAAATAAAGCTACGATGGATCTAATGTTATAGGCGTATTGGCATATTGGAAAATTGTTTTTAAGATTCTGGGGGTGCTATTGAGAGAGTAGAGTGACGCTAACACACATTGTCATTAAGGAGACGATGCAAGGCGAAATGCGCACTTCTTTCTCGAAATTGAACTCTTGCAACCGCGATATTACTTTAAAAAAACTGTGAAAAATTGCTAACATTATCTATTGTCCCGCGTTAGGAAGTTCTAAAAAATTGAAACCTGAAAATTTTCCGACGATTGTGACATTAATTTCGCGAGCAGTTTTAGTAATCATGTTAGATCGTTTCGCGCCGCACGATATCGAATTTTATTTAATGATAAACTCTGTATTTTACGAAATGCAATTGCGACGCAAGCTTATGCGAGAAAGAAAATTGAAAAAATTAACGACTGGCGGAAGATCTATCGAGGCTGGCGATGTGATTACGCATTTTCTATAGCGCAATCTCTATGGCGCAATCTTTGTACGTTGGCGCATTGATCGAGACACTTGAAAGATCGCATTCAATAAATAATTTTACAAAAATTTTGAATTCAGAGCGATACTCGATATTTTAATGGCAATTGGGAGAAAAATACCTAAAAATTTGCTAAATTTATGTAAAAATGCATTATTACTAATATTATTGTTTGTAAAAACGATCTTTCAAATGTTTCGAGCAATGTGCTTTATTGGACGGCACATACACACACTACACCACAATAAATCGCAGTAACATCGATTTATAAACATGCATTACACGAAAAAACTTTTTGTCTTTCTATTACCAATTTATTTTCTTATTTGACTCACCGATCCGTCGATCAGGGCAGCCACGTTCTGCTTTCGTTTCTGGAATAGAAAAATGTTTCGCCGATTAGATTCGTGCATTGATGTCGGTTTGAGTAAAAAAGCTTGAAATATTAAACAAAAAATAAGCGCGCGATATTTTTCACGCTGGGAGAGTTTTTCGGAATACACTCACATTTAGAATGTTCCATTTTCTTTTTTCTCGATGTTTCACAAAAATTTCTTAATTAAAACAAATTAACATTTTTCAAGTGGTGATGTTACTCAGGAAAAATTCTCCTCGTGTGTAATTACGTGTTAATTATTGGCTTAATTGTGGCGAAGTTAAAATGTGGTATTAAGGCTCCTGAGGAGTCGCATCATCCATTTCTTTTTAATGACATCAGAAGCGAGAAAACGCATGCTAAAAATTCCTGCAAAGTACTTCGAGATAAACAGATATATCCACAAAACGACATTTGCGATCGATTAAGTACACCTCTAAAATATTCCGTACACTTTCCTTTTGTTCTAACAATCGATAGATAATTATAAAATAAATGTGACGTGCAATCGTCTTTTCTAACCTAATTTCCTCATTATCTTGTCATATTAATTTTCCGATTATCTATTGATTTTTAGAAAGGAAAGTGTACGGAGTATTTGAGAGGAGTATTTAATCGATCGCAAATGTCGTTTTGTAAATATATCTATTTATCTCGACGTATTTTGCAAGAATTTTTAGCATGCGTTTTCTCGCTTCTGACGTCATTAAAAAGAGATGGATGATGCGATTCCCCAAGAGCCTTAAAAATCAGCGCGAAAAAAGTTTAGAAAATAACGCAGCAGCTCCGCGACGCGCTCGCTTGATAAGCGGCTGATAGCGTGGAGTGACTCCCGAGAGCACGTGCTCGCGCACGCGTGTTTACCTGACCGGCCACGCACCCCCCCTCCCCCCAACGCGCCGCTCAGTCATCGGCACGAGCTAGCCGTTACGACGGTCTGTTTGTTTACCTAGCCTTTGTTGAGCTTAGAGTTTCCGTTAGGGCCGTAGCACACAGAAAAACTTAAGCAGAAAGACGTAAGCAGTAAGCAAATTGGTCAATCACAGTCGTTGATTCTTGGACTGTAAGAAGAATCAATAATTGGTCAATTTGCTTACTGCTTACGTTTTACTGCTTAAGTTTTTCTATGTGCTATCAGCTTTAGGGCCTTTGCACGTAGAAAAATTTTAACCGTAACCGTAAGGTCGTAAGAAAACTGACCAATCACAGTCGATTATTTCTCGAACGCAAGGAAAATAATCAACTCTGGTCAGTTTTCTTACGACTTTACAGTTATGGTTAAAATTTTTCTACGTGCAAGGGTCTTTACCCAGGTTACTATTACAAGTTGCTATTACCGATTATTCCATCATCATTTTGTTATCACACGATTGTCGAGCAGATATTATTATCACTAATAATAATCACTAACATTTAATATTCGAATATAATTACTTCTTTATTCGATTATTACTTAAATAACCGGCCGCATATACCGCGAGGAGAAACGAGAAGATTACTTATAAATGACGTCTTCACGATACGCCCCGGCGATCGCACATCGCTATTCTCGACACTCCCGTGACTTATTAACTTACTTTCGACGGATTAAAGACGCGTAAAATGCGGAGCGATGTCGATCGATGTGTCCACGGCGGTTGCTCGATGCAGAAGGATCAGTACATTATTACGGAGTAATTTCCTCCCTTCTCGACATATATAGCTAAGGTGACCAGACGTCCCGATTTTTCACCCTTTTTTCGGCCGGACCAGACGTCCCGAATTTTTTCGGCCGGGTCATGTAAACACACATGCGTGAGCACGTGCTTGAGCGTCACGCCATACCCAAATAAAAATGCGTGATAATCATGTTTTATCGCAAAGTGACTTCATACTATGACTCAAATTTGATACTTTTTTAAAGATCATTATGTGATCTCATAACATGAGCACCAGATGCACACAAATGATGTACAAATTATGTTGCAAATTCTTGACATGATGTTGATTATTATTATTAAATAAAGTTTATTATTAAATAAATTTTTGTGACATCATAACATGTCTACATTCTGAGGCGCATATGAGCCCGCATCGGTGTCTATTCTCGTTCTTATGTCTGAAGATACATGAATACAATATCAGCTCAGAATGAACACATTTTTCTATCTGGGTAATACTCTCAACTGTCGAGACGATCACATCGGGAGTTACCGATGGTCTAGTTTTACAGTAATATCACCGCTAGCATCGTGCCTACGTCGCTCATCAGTGATGAGACAAGAATAGAGCGATTGGACGTCTGTCCTTTTCTAACTTACTATCATTGTACAGAAGTACAACAGGCTCGAACCAGGCGTATTTTATCGTTACCACCGCGAAAATGCGCTTAACGCACGTAATAAAGGCGTACTTTGTTAGATGGCGTCTCGCTCTGGCCATTGAAATCAGGCTAGTGGCCGTTCTCATGCTTTTCTCTGGTACTATAGAGAATGTGCTAAAGATATTACATTTGTTGCATTGCAGTTATCCCTTCTAGCTAGCAATATAGATGGAGTGTGTCTGACATTCGTTTCACATTGGAATTTAAATTTTTGGATGTATAGCAACTGTATTAATGCGTAAGAAAAATGTGGTTTGCCAGGTTTTCTCACGTGATATTACACTCGTAATTTGAAATATAATTTAAAGTGTTTATTCGTCGTTATTAGTGCCAAGAATCAACAATTGCAACAAAGTACGGTTTAATTTTTATTCATGGCGGTCTTAACCTTATTTTTAAATCAGACTTTTGTGCACGCAGTAACAGCATTTAGACATTCCTCTTTGCCCTTGGATGTATATTTAACTATATGTTTGTAATTAATTTACCATTTAATGTTCTATAATTCTTTGTATTAACATGCTATCTGCGAATTATTGCATCTGCTATGATAGATGTGTTCTTGAATATATTTTATATTGTATTAATATTGTATTAATGTAAGATAGGGAGAGTAAATTTGTTAGCTTTAGGATTTCAAATTTCAAATAATTTTGGGATCACGAAAATAGTTACAATATGAATAAAAGTTGTTACTCATGCCTAGAGAAGTAGAGATACAGTACTTGATTTATGAATCTCATATCTATGTATCTGAGGAGATAATATTGTTCAAATTGTAAGATCAGTCATGATTTTTTGCAGCCAAAGTACAAGATGCGTAGTAGAAGTAACTCTGGAGTCCGTTTGGACTATTACCAACGAATTGTTCATAAAATAATTATGAATCATCAGAATCCTGTGACAGGACTCTTTCCTGCCAGTCCTAACAATGATCATGCTTGGATACGTGACAATATTTATTGTATACTTGCTGTATGGGGTTTGTCAATGGCATACAAAAAGATAGCTGATGCTGACGAGGACAGAGCCAAGACTTATGAACTTGAGCAGAGTTGCGTTAAGCTGATGAGAGGTCTACTGATGGCAATGATGCAACAAAAGGATAAAGTAGAAAAGTTCAAGTCTAGTCAAAATCCACACGATGCCTTGCATGCAAAGTATAGTTCTGTCAATTGTCAAACTGTAGTTGGAGACACTGAATGGGGACATCTTCAAATTGATGCCATTTCTCTATACCTTCTAATTCTGGCTCAGATGACAGCTTCTGGCTTACAAATCATTTTCAATTTGGATGAGGTAATCTGATATAATACTCACAGAGGTTATACACTTAAAAAAGAAACTGCAATTCTTACCTAATTAAACTTTCCTGTTATATTCACGGAGTAAACAAAAGAGTTTCTGTGTTACTTTGTGGAATTGATCAGAGTAGATTAATTGAGAGTCTACCAAAAACAAATGGAATATTTTTGTTTTAATGTTTTAGGTGGCCTTTATTCAAAACTTAGTATTTTACATCGAATCTGCTTATTGTACTCCAGACTATGGGATTTGGGAACGAGGGGATAAGACAAATCATGGCTTGCCAGAGTTAAATGCGAGCAGTATCGGAATGGCAAAGGCCGCGATGGAGGCAATGAACGAATTGGATCTGTTTGGTGCGAGAGGCGGACCCACGTCGGTCATTCATGTTTTGGGCGACGAAGCACAGAAATGTCAAGCAGTGCTGCAATCCATGCTACCCAGGGAATCGAACTCTAAGGAGTTGGATAGCGGGTTGTTGTCCATCATAAGTTTTCCTGCGTTTGCAGTGGATGAGCCTAACTTAATTCATTTGACTAGGGATGCTATTATCAAAAAATTGCAAGGTCGATACGGATGTAAAAGGTTTTTGAGAGATGGATACAGAACGCCAAAGGAAGACTTGAACAGGCAAGATATTTATACTTACAGATATTTTTTAGATTTTTAGAAATTTTATGCGCAATTCAGGCTTAAATAATGGTTAATTTTCTTTTTTAATAGACTGTACTACGAGCCTTGGGAACTTCGCATGTTCGAGAACATCGAATGCGAATGGCCACTATTTTTTTGTTACTTGATACTGGATTACTGCTTCCAAGGTAATAAAGAAGCGGCCGTAGTATATACGAAGCAGCTGGAAGAAGTAATGATTAAAACAGAGGATGGTATGAAATTAGTTCCTGAATTATATGCCGTTGCACCTGAAGACGTGTCGGCGGAATATGCCGAACCCGGTAGTCAAAGCCGAGTAGCCTTTGGTAGATGTCCATTTATGTGGGCGCAATCTCTCTACATCCTGGGAAAATTGTTGCAAGAGGTAAAATTAAAAACAAAATTGTCTCAATATATGTATTAATTTTTATTTGTCACAATTAAAGCACCAATCTATTGTGTAAAAATACTTATCACAACTGTGCTCGTAGGGATTTCTCGCTGTCGGCGAGTTAGACCCATTAAATAGGCGATTATGCAGTGAGAAAAAGCCAGATGTAGTGGTGCAAGTGGTTATTTTAGCAGAAGATACGGAAATCCGAGAGAAAGTGGCACAGCATGATATACACGTGCAAACGATCGCGGAAGTCGCACCGATAGAAGTGCAGCCCGCGAAAGTTCTTAGTAATCTCTATACATATTTAGGTAAGACTCAGTAAAATTGCGAATAGTTGAGATAATTTTGCGTTAAAAAAATATATACAAAATATCTCTAATGAAACTTGGTAATATTTCACTTTCAGGACGCAATAAGAAACTGGGTTTGTCCGGGCGTAAGTCGAGAGATGTGGGAATTCTCAGCACTAGTAAATTGTATTCCTTGCAAGACAAGATATTTGCGTTTACACCGCAGGTAACAGCGCTTTGCGATAAGCCTACTACTATCTTTCTTTTTCTTTCTCTTCCTTTTTCCTTTTTTTCTTACTTTATCTATCTCTTTCTTCTTGCATTTGTATTTCTTACATTTCCTCTTATTCTTACATCGAACACCAGTTGACAGACATGACCCGCTTCTACATCGCATCGGACTATGAGCTCATGATTGATATATTCAAAGGCGAAATTAATTTCTTGAAGTCTAGTTGGCAGAACATGTTGGGTCGGCCCCTCGTGGTCATGCCTCTGAAGAGCATTCATCTAGGTAATTCAAAGATTTGAAGATCACAGCTTTTCTTTCATAGTTGTGCTAGTTTAGTCGCTCTGGAATTCGTTCAAACCATCTTGACCAGGCAAATTGACCTCAGCGGTTGACCAAATGCAGAATTTTTCGTGTGAGACCCTCGTTCACCTCGAAAACTGTGGTTGTCCGCTCGGAACGACTAACATGTTTGCCTGCATGCATCACTTGTTCTTGTCACGGTTTTCAATTAATGTCTAGTTAACCCTCTATGGTTTAATGTGATTTTGAACACACTGTACAGAACGTATTATTTCTTAATTTATATTTAAACATTTTGATTCGGTACTTTCTCAGCAGAGAAATAATATTATCCATAGAGGATTAAGAGAGATAAGGGAGTTTTCAAATTGTTGTGATCGACGATCGAGTTATAGCTGGGATAAAGCGAAAACAATTTGAATTACAGCTGTCAATGTTCAATATAGTCTATGGCAATTATTTACAGAAGATTACATTTCACAGATCACTTTTATTCTGACATATATTATAAAGATAGAACCTTGAATTACTTGTACTTCACGTGAGGGTTGCATTTCTGAGGTTTGATTTCTGAGATATGTTATTTTAGTATTGCAATTTTTCATATTTGAATATTCTCAGTTGTTTCCTGTTGCTATTATTCCAAACATATCATTCGTGCTGTTTTCCTTTGTTTACATTTTTCATATTGTGTTTTAAATTGAAAATAACTGAGAAAGAGAGAGAGAGAGAGAGAGAGAGAGAGAGAGAG